TTTATGTTTGTTTTTGAAATGACGAGCATGATGCAAATGCAAGCTTATGGTAAAGATTTTCTATGTTTTGACTTGAGCGTTCATATATATATCTTTAGCCCATACACTTGAGTGATGGAGCGAACCTTGTGAGATGTGTTGGTCCTCATTTGCATTTGATATTGATTGGTTGTTGAGGATGATTGTTATTGATGTTAGTACATGAGGCTCCCACTATGACTTGTTTTCTTGTGTGCGAAAATGTTTTGAATTGGCAAAAGAAGAGAAAAGAGTGTGATTATGATTTGTGATATTGAATTTGGCTTGATGCTTGAGGGCAAGCATCGTTCAAGTGTGGGGTAGTTTGATAAGTTGAAAAACATGCTCGCTTTAATCATTTAATTTTGTAATAGTGCACGTTTATTTATACGCATTTATATGATTTTCGACTTATTTAACTTTATTATCGATTGTGGTGCCTTGATGAGTTTCTTGAGTGTTTTCAGAGTTTTGGAATCATTCTTAGCAAGTGACGACGTTGAATGTAAGACGAGCTTGACAAATTTTGATGTAGTACTGGGGTACCCAGTACTTCGTTCCAGCCCCCAGTACTCTTGCTTAATTTGGGGCTGAATTTGTCTTTCTGGACATATATTTGGGTTGAATTTGCCTAAGTGGACATATACTTGGGCTAACTTTATGCTAGGAATTAATGTGAAGGGGTCCAGTTTATTGGAGTTTACTTGGAAAAAAGAAAAAAAAAACGTGTAAAAAGAGGAGAGACCGATTATTGAAAAAGGAGAGAGAGCTGGCGGCTGGGACCTATCAAAAAAAAAAAAACAACAGAGGAGAGAACGGAAAGAGAGCAGATCGCGAGGATAGCAACAACAGAGAAGAATTTCATCTTTCTTTTCTTTTCTTTCTTGTGTAATTAATTTATGATTATGTTATTGAACACTATGCGTAGTGAGTAGTTCTTTTATTCTAGTTCCGGGAAAGTTGAACCCTAAGACTCGATGAATGTTTGATTAATTCTCTTGGTTGATAATCTCAATGTCTTTTGAAATTGTTTATGTTATTTTGAATTAGTAACCCTAATTTGTTGAGTCTTGTTTAGCTTGATCACCTAGACTAGGCTTTTCACATCTACTGCTAGATTCAAACTGTCAATCCGTAATTGTTGATATGTTTAATCAATTAGAGGCTACCGGAAGATGGTAACTACCGGGGATAACACAGCCTAAATAAGTGAATGAAAATTTCGCTACTTAGTCTAGCCTTTTTTTCTAAATCGTAAAGCGGCTAATTGAATTAAATTTAGGAAGCGTTTCCTAGACTGTTCAAGAGGTCAGATTTAATCGTAGAGCATCTCGCGGTTAAATTAAAAATAAAGAAAAATTCGGGTAACAACTCGTGGCGTCACCTAGGGCTAGTAATTCCATAGATAGCGAGATTTGATACCAGAATTAATTAGACGAGTCGGTCGAGGGTGTAGACGGAACCGTGAACTAGAAGTTTTCCCATAATTTGATAAATTATCCTCTTTTGCTTCATTTGATTTCATTTTGTTATTCTTATTTTCGTAGTTAATTATCTCACGTCAAAACCCACCCTCTTTTATCGCTTTTATTAATTTCAATTAAAGAAAATAATTACAATTAAAATTCACACTCCCTTAGGTTCGACCCTTACTCACTGCTACTACTAATTGGTAGAAGTCGAATAAGAAATTTATAAATATTAATTTTGCCGCGTTGCGACGCGCGGTCAATTGCATGATTTATCGAGATTTTATTGTCTCTGTTGTGCCTCTGTTATGACCATCGAGAACTCGTTATTTGAAGATGTGTTTTTCACATGAATTGAAATTTATCCTGTTATCTTCCAGTGGGCTTTGAAATTTTGAAATCGATTCAAATTGAGGGAGATATGATTTTTACAAAATAATTGTGCAACCAGCTTTCTGTAAAACCGGCAGTATATATATATTAAATGTTTGGACTGCGATCGATATGCTAACATGCTCAAATGTGGAAGTGGTCTTCATAAAATATATAGCTTTATGTGTTAACTTCTTGTTAGTTTTTGAATCAAGTCAAAAGTATGTCTGTAGCATGAGATATTCCAGTTTTACTGAGGCTCTGTAGGATGTATAATTTTGTTCTCGGACTGCAATCATGTTTCGAATGTATGACGAATAATTTATGATAAAATGCCCTTATTTGCCATTCATGTCTTTATGAAAGTTGTAGCCTTACTTCTTAGCTATCTGTTGGTTTTGGAATCATGTCATTTTGAGGTCTGTAACATGAATTATGTGATAATTACTGAAGCTCAGTATGTATAAAATTTTAGTTTTCTCACTGCATCTCTGTTATGAATGTTTGTTGAATTATTACCTGGTAAATGGTCTTATCTGTTGTCGATGTCTTCATAAAGGTTGTAGATGCATGTCTCAGGATTCAAATTCAACTGGAATCATGGTTATACGACATATGTGCTGCAAGTTATGTTTATTTTAAAATCGCTGCGCTGGTTAAGTTTTGAGAAACTTATGTGGTGCTTTCGAAAATATAATTTACTTTATAAATGCTTGATTATATGACTTATGAACTGAGTTGATCTAAGTGAATGTGTTGTGTGTGTATTCATGTGTCGGATAGTTATTTATAGGGCTATCTTAATAAATGTAGGTTCGACGAGCTGATTCCTTGACCTAATTGCTTGTCTTGTGTGATTTCTCCACTACCTTAACCAGGTGGGTTTATTTAAAATGCTATGATGTAAATTTTATTTATGTTATGCTATATGGTATGATCAATGTATGCATGTGAACCATGTAGCCTTCGATGTGAGCTGTACCGATCGTCGAATGGTTATCCCCGTAGCTAAAGAACGTACCCGATGGGTAGTCTTTTTTTTGTGCTCGTAAGACTAGGGCAAGGCCCTGGCTGTGGATATGAACCCCGATGTAAGTCCGATGGCGAGGCGGGGCCTTCGGGGAGAGGGGGGAGATACTCCTATTGTTTGGGCATCGTTGTAAGGCCTGAGCGAAGGGCATTCGATACGTGTATCAACAGTAGTCTATTGATATAAGTGTGCACATTAGTATTGATTTTATGATTTTATGATGGGAGATGAGATAGATAATTGCTTCGTATACATGCTGCGACCATACCTGTTTTATCTTATGATTATTGTTTATTGCATAGTGGTGAGCAGCACGGATTCCATATGTGCTCACCCCCTCCTGTTTCTTCACGGATGCAGGTTAAGTAATTGCGGGCACGACGGATTGGAGCGAGTGGTGGTCGGTCTATGAGACTAGATTATTAGTTGTTATGTTTCCGCTATCTGAACTTATTTTATGATTGCATGATTTGGGATATTATGAATTTGAGATTTTATGTTTTTGCGAATTATGATGGTTGGAAATAAGGATGAGGGGAATGCCCCTTTGACACTGTGATGATTTTATGAAACTCGGTTTGGGTGCTTGATGACATTGTGATGAAACTTGCTTTGGGAGTTGATTTTATGTTTGATATTATGTTGACAGTTGTTGGTTTTTTTTTTTTTTTTTTAAAAAAAATGAGTAACGCCACAAATGTTTAAATTGAGTTTGAAAATTTTATTGATTTTTTTGAAAGTCCGTAATTTCTTTAAAATAAAAGTGGGACGTTACAATAATAAACAAACGACATTTCAAAGTTTAGATTTTTGTCATATCAACATCCGAAACGTGTGGACCCACCACTTAAATAGTTAAACTCAACATTTTTTGAATTAATAATTTAATATACAGGGAGGAAGAGTGTCAGTAGAGATGTTAAACGAGCTAGCCTTGGCGGTTTCAGGTTAGCTCTAACGGGCTTCGGGCTAAACGGTCCGGGCCTAAAAAACCCGATTTAAACGGGCTACCAATAAAAGGACCTAACCCTAACCCTAGCGGGCTTCGGGCTAAACGGGCTAAACGGGCTATAATAATAATAATAATAATATATAAAAAACATATAAATAAAAATTGCAACGGCTAATTCACGATTGTTTTCAACGATATTCAGTATTTACCGCTCTATATATATACAACTACATTTCATGTATAAACACTCATTACAAACTCTTAAGTGATATGTTTTTACCAAAAGAAAAAAAAAATGTTCGAACTATTACTTATAATTATCATTTTACTACTTATTTTTGTACGCTTCGGAAATTTTCACGATATTGTATCTTACTGTTGAATTTATATTCTATCACTATGTTTTATGTGTAGGTCTTTGTCTCATGTATTTTTCATTAGCCGTTCTAATTGACTTAAATAATTTGGTGTGAAGTAGAATAACGAAATAGTTAATAATTATGTTTCATCAACATCAACATCAACATACCCAGTATATTCCCAACGAGTTGGGGTCTGGGGGGTCAGTTGTACGCAGACCTTACTCTTGTAATTATACAAGGAGGCTGTTTCTGTAGCGACCCAAGGTGCATTGCGTCGTTTGATATATTTTTTTTTTCTAGAAACTTCACTAATAGAAGAAGCACTAGAATTTAATTGAGCCATTTTGATCTAGTCCATTATTAGCACTATGCCAGGAGAATTGTCAGTAATGACTCTTCCAGCTCCATTTGTAATGGACAATAGTTAATAATTATGTTTCAAAATCATAATAACCCGCTACAGCTCATAGTTACATATAAAGTAGAATAGTGAAGTTGTAATATACAAATTAAACGGGCTAGCCCTAGCGGGTTTCAGGCTAGCTCTATCGGGTTTCGGATTAAAGGGTCCGGGCCTAAAAAGCTCTGATTTAAATGGAATACCAAAAAAAGGCCCTAACCCTATTTTTTTTTCGGGCTAAACGGGTCGGCCCGTCGGACCAAGGACCGTTTAATATCTCTAAGTGTCAGGCTTGGGCCTTCGGATTGCCACCGGCTATTGTCCAACTTAAACAACGCGTGTTCCTAATCATTCTGTATCAACCCGAGGAAACAGAAACACAAGCGGGGGGGGGAAAATGGCGGTCGCGGCTGCTAGTGGGAGGGCGGTGGTGCTGTCACAGCCGGTGACATTCGTGACTGGTAACGCTAAGAAGCTCGAGGAAGTTCGAACAATCCTTGGTAACTCAATCCCCTTTCGCTCCGTCAAGCTCGATCGTACGTTACTCTTCCACGCTCTAATCGTGTCCCCATTTTCGTTCGCAAGAGCCATTTGTAACATTTAGCGAATTCGTTTTTCCTTTCCTGTTTAACCTGGCATTGTACATTTTAAGCAGTGCCAGAGTTACAAGGCGAGCCCGAGGAGATTTCGAAAGAGAAGGCTCGTCTAGCTGCGAAGGAGGTACCCCAAAAATGTGCCCGTAACGTGTTTGTGGAAATGTCCCGTTATGGTGTATTATTTTATGGTGTTGATCGTTATTTTTTTTTTTTTTTTTATCCATTTAAAAATGGAAGGTAAATGGGCCTGTGCTGGTGGAGGATACTTGTCTTTGTTTCAATGCCCTCAAGGGTCTGCCAGGTACTCACTAGTAATGACGTGTTTTGAATGATTGAGCATACATTCTTGAGATCAATTTTCGATTTCATGATTTACCTGCCATGTTACAGTACTGACTATGTTTATGAATGATTTTGCAGGGCCATACATGTAAGTTTCATGGCTATCCTTCTCCCGAGTTCAAGTTCCTTTCTTGTTTTCCTTCCATGACATCATGAACTCGCAAATAGCTATTATTTGTGAATCTTATTGATGATGAGACTGGAAAACTGGATTGGGGTTGTGAGATCTTGTTTGTGAAGGATGATTAATTATACAGTTAATCAGATATCCTTTTCATTGTAATAAATTGTGGTCATATATCTGATGGAGAATGCTGAAGAAAGATATCATCTTGGAGGGAAATGCCATTTGAACGAATAAGTATTAGTCACATTATCATTTTCATCACTGTGGTTACATCTTTTTATCCTAAAAGAGTCAAAGACTGATCGTAAATACTGGAAAAAATAACGAAAATAGCTGGTTTTTGGGCAGTCAATGAAAGGTATGCCGTCAGGCAGTCGTATGCAAGTTTTGAATTCCATGGAGTTCAAACTAGGATTGATTTGCTGTCTCCATGGAGCACGTTTATTCATTAGTGCACACAGTAAGTATGGAGATCGAAGCTTGTTTAATTTTCGGCTTTTCCTCAACCGATTTAGACAAATTCCTCAGCTTGTAATGTAGATGAGATTTTAGTGGGAGTTCAACTGAATGTAAACTCTAATAGGTAATTACAGTGAAAGAAAAGAAAAAAAAAAATATACAAGTAAAAAAAAAAAAAAAAAATGAAATACCCAATAACTTGTAAGGGAATTATGTACTTGCATACATGCTATGCTTGTTATACGTTATAGCTTGCTGGTACCTATTTAATGTCAGTATTCTAAATATCGCGAGATACTACTTTGATATGGAAGTTATGTGTTTCTAGTGTCTGTATTCCATATATCGGAAGTGATGTGCTTCTATTGTTCACCATAAGGAGCTACAAATTGTTTATAACTGCTATAGATAGAAAACATGCCGAAAATTCAGGAAGAATTTGTAACAAAATTAATGTTCTTGTAAAATGTCTACTGCATTGTTTATTAATTCTAGAAGGATTCAAAGAGAAAAATCATGTACTTTGTCGTTGCCCTTGTTTCTATCCACTATGGCATTATCTGTAACGTGATTACTTCTTTTCAATATTATTTTCTCATTTCAAACTCTTATATTCTTCAGAAACATACTGACCTGTATTTCTTGTTGCAGCAAGTGGTTTCTGCAGAAGATAGGTCACCAAGGTATGGTGGATCTTCTTTGTATCGATATGTTTTCCTCCAGCTTCAATACTATGTTATATTCTTTTTTTTTTTTTTTTTAAGGTCTGAACAATTTATTGATGGCGTATGAGGATAAGTCGGCGTACGCTCTCTGTGTTTTCTCGCTTGCTCTTGGGCCAAATGCAGATCCAATTACATTTCTGGGTAAAACCCCGGTATGCTGCTTCCATAAATAATTTAATCTTTTAGGTTCTGTTCTAGGAATTTTAGTTTCTCTTTACGTGAGGATTAAAATAAAACAATTTTGGCTACCTATACGGAGAATCCATATCTTGCCATGTGCTCAGGCTGATGTGGCCAAATTAAATTGAATTAGAACTTTTCGATTCTTGGTCAGTCAAACAAAACAATAATATTGTCCATCCTCTTCTTGAATTTGTCTATATCGCCATGATAATATTTCTGTTAAGTATAATCATGCTAATACTGTAGTTTATTGCTCAAAACAACATTTAAAGTAAGTTGTGATACACAACATTCTTGGCAATGCCTAAAAACAAGAAGTGGCTCACAGTTTGGAAATTTAAAAAGTTATTCCTTTGTGTTTTCATGTTTTGACATGTTTACTGATATTGATATCCAGCAAACTGAAAGCATTGCATGTTCAAAATATCACAAAATGTTTTACTGGAAGATTTCAGCTTAATAGTACTTGAATTTTTTATGGTCCTAGATACAGTCTGATATTAACCATGTTAATATCTCTGGTACTTTTATGTGGTCGATGCATATAATCTATATCTATACTCGCATAAAAGGACGAGTGGTTTTGTAAGAAAAATGATCTACCTAAAATCCTTACGTTGATATATTTTTAATGGCAATTTAGTAATACACTACTACTCATCATATCTTATACTTTTATTGAACTACCTAAAAAGCCCTTTGACATATTTTTAATGGAAAATTAGCAATACGCAAATACACATCCTATCTTATATTTTTAATTAATTACTAATATTAATTAGTTAAATACTAATACACAAACAAAAAAGTCCACATCTGCTATCAACCACAATATTCTCGCATCATTAAGTAATATTTAATTAATTAAATACAACGAACAAAACATTTCACATCTCCTAAAAATCGACCACAATATTCCCGCACCATTATTACTCACGAATTTTCTTTCTTCCACATATCTCTCAACTACTTTCTTCAATATCTCCTAAAAATCAACCCAAACAACAAAGTTTGAAAAAGATATAGAATTGTTGTTTCGAAAAACAACTTTATTTTTCATATAATTTTGATGGTAAAATCTTAATCACATTGCATTATTCTAATATTTAAAATCTCTTTAAAGAAAACTGATCCAACAAAACCAACATAATAAATACTTAAAGAATCTAAATACTTTCAACTATTTATTTACATATCTACAATTTTAACAAAACAATAAATGTTGGGAAAAAAGACAAGTTGAGGGGTAAGTTAAATATCACCCCATATATAATTCTCGGACGTGTTAAGTCTAAGTGGTAGTCTGGCATGCTTCGGGATCCTATGTGGCAAATTTTCGTGTTTTGTCGTTTGACTGACTTAGATGGAATTTAATTTACTCTTAATCTAAAATAATTAGGTTTGGAATAGCTATATATATACTAAATATTTATGGTTCTTTAAGAGCGTTAATTATGTTACATTTCCCATTCTAGATGTGATTTATAAGGCATAAATTTTTTCCACAATCTTTCTTTTTTCCTCATCTTTTCTTTAAATTATGAAAAAAAAAATCCTAACTTTTATTATAAGCAACGTTAATAATTTTTTAATTTATCATCAATGTTTTATGCATAATATTTCAAATTAATAATGTCTTGATGAGCTTCGATTTGCCACCTATATTTTACATACAAAATAAGTGAATAATTATATTTATTTTTATAATAAAATTGAAATTACCTATTAATATTAATTAAAAAATAAACTTTAAATTACCTATGTTGTCTCAACATAGCAGGTCCCAAGCCCTGGTAAAGGAGGAGGGTTGTGATAGGCTTGGCGAGCCAACGTAAAACCTAGCCATTCTATGGAGATGAAACACAATAGATATTCGTTGGGGCGTAACCCTCTTAGCGACCCTGCCATATCGGAACCCGGGTATGGTGTCAAATGGGCAAGGGCCGGGTCGTCTCCCCCTCAGGGACGCGCCATGTCGTGGTTTGGGCATGGTGTTAAGTGAGCAAGGACCGGGTCGTCATTTCCTTAGTGGCGCGCTATATCGGCGTCCGGGTGTAGTGGAAAATGAGCAAGGGTCTTCGCATCTCTCTCGACGGGTGCGAAGGGCAAGGAAGCTAGTCGAACCAACTGCTTTCAGCATGGCTACTCATGATGATGGTGATGTTAGCCTTGACGGGCAAGTGGTGGCCAAGAAGGAGACTTTCCGGTATTTAGGATCGATGCTACAAAAGGATGGCGGC